CAGTCAATAATGTGTGAAATAGCCCTTTTTAGGTTAGTTTCTTTTTTCCTTGACTTTGACATCACCAAACGTTGGGTGGGTTTGCTCTACTTTTTGCTCCTCCTGCTATTGTGGCCAAAAATCAGGAAGGACAGAGAGCTAAATCAGCATCTCTTGAATAAGCTACCAATTTTATGAAGAATTACTCTCTGTCAGCAGCTGGCATACACAAAGAGAAAACACTATGGTATTGCCATTCATCCTTTCTTGATCCAAATCATTATTTCAGTCTGGTGCTCCCCTTTTTAATGTGGTGTTGCAGATCTGTATTAAACGAAAAATCATTAGTTAAACAAACACAAATATAAAGTCAGTCTTTAATTTCTTTTCAACAAACTCTTTCCTCTGTATCCAAGAGGTAAATATGAGGAGACAGTGCCAATTCTAGTGTGAAAGACCTTAAATCTTTCTGTATTTTAATGACTACATAGTAATCTTGAATTGATTTTTGGTCTCTTCTGCATAGTCCAACACCAGGCTGAATGGTAAGGACATTTAAATAGGCAGTAATGTGAATACATTCTGATATAACGAGATGCTAACAGATGGCTATGAACCCAGGCTAACTGAGTTGAAGTGTTGCAAAACCAAGGCCCACATCCTTCAGACTGTGAGAGGAAGGATTTCTCTTTACTGTGTGATTCCTAACAAGAATCAAAAGAATGAGCCACTGCTTTGCCAAATTTTGTGTTCTCCTTTCCTTCATAAACAAGGAAAATGAAATTCCAGCTTGATTTTACCATAGGACTCAAAGATTTGGGGTTTTAGGTAAAGCCCTGGCTGGAAGAATCATTGGGAGTGCAGTGTGTTCATGCATTGGTATGGTGGTACACTTGGGATGTCTTGGTAATCAAATCCTGTCTTCAGTGGCTTGGTCCCACAGTTCTGACATGATCAGGTTATTCTGTAAGCTTTTAATTCAGTATTTCCAACCAATGCAGTCTGAAAATGTATAAAGTCAGTTTTCCAGGCTTCTTATTTGCTTGTAAAGAGCAGTGAAGAAACTAAATCAAACTTAAATTGCCCTCGTGACCTCTTTGCCATCGGATGAGCTTGAGACTTGATAGAAGACATCAGTTCTGTTTCTGGAAGAATGTTCACATTTTCAAGTGTTTTCTTCTTACATTAAATGAGTAAAGGGACAATGCACAATAACAAAACAGAGCCCTGGCTACCCAATGGCAGACGTGATGGGCACTGGGAGAGTTAAGTAAAGCCCTAGGTTCAAATTCTTATTTAGTCCCATGAGAAGAAATAAGCTGTGTGTTCTTCATTCCAAGAGAATTTCCTTGTCACCTGCTCCACTGAAATATTATGAACTGCTCTCTTTCATTTCACAACAACATTCACAATATTTACTCTTGACACTCATCTGGTTTTACACCATGCTGAAAAGAAAAACATTTGCAAATTTCAGTAAAACTGGCATATATCATCAAAATATCCTGAAAAAGAAAAGAATAGATGTGGCACTGATGGACATGGGTTAGTTGGCATGGTGATGATGGGCTGATGGTTGGACTGGGTTATCTTAGTAGTCTTTTCCAACCTTAATGATTCTATGATTCTATGATTCTAAAACATTTCCTTTTAATGAAATAGAAGTAGTTGATGCGTTTTGCCAAGAACAAGTGAAATAAAGGGTTTCTTGTTCACAGCTGTGTTTGCAGGAAACCTACAGATGATGGCATGCCTTGAGGACTTTTTTGCACAGATTTAATGTTTCCAGGATAATCTTCACAACTAGTGGGATGTTACCAGCCAGGAGATATTCACTTCATTGGAGTCCTTTTGGTGTGTTTCCATTTCTTTTTGTTTTCTATTTGCAATTACTATCACACACCCAAGGCTTTTTTTTTGTTTGTTTGTTTTACCAGTCACGAGATGTTTCTCCCCTTTTCCTCCTTTTAATAAGCACAGTTTTTCTAATTATCTTTATAAAAATACGATGGATTTTTCCAAGTCTTAAATTATACCCTCTTTTATTTGAAGTTTTGTGAGTGTTAGCTGCACGCTACATGGTTTAGCTGACTTGAGGGCTGGGATCTGTTAATTATTCAATGATTTAAATGAAATATCAAAGGAGTTTTTATTGATTTGCATATAAAAGTTATGAAATCCAATATATGGCACAACAGACAAATTAGTAGGCCATAAAAAGCATGAGTGAATTACTGTTTTATTAAAGCTTGAAGATAACATACTGTAGTATCTGAAAATAAAGGTCAAAAGAAAAAAAATAAAAGGAAAATTTAAATGTGTGCACATTAATGGACTGGGGAATGTGGCTTTACTAATAACTTCTGTGCATAAAAATTTATATTTTTCAACAAAGCAATCATTTCTTTTACCCTGTTGGGTACCTTAAATGTGCTCTTGTGTATATAATATTAATTTAGTCATAAAATAAAAGGCAGTAACTCAGACAGTAGCCCATGTGAGCTATTAAATTCAAAGTACCATGTGAAGTATTTGTGGTTATGGTTCCTCGCAGTTCTGGATAAGATGCAAACAAAACACTTCTGACAAGGTGAAAGTGTTTGCTTTCAGAATATCAGCCCTGCAGTCCTGCATTTCCTCCTCAAGAGCTGCCACTGCCTCCAATTAGATTGTTTGGATATAAACTATGAGAATGTTCCTTGGAAAGAAACCATGAAATGAGGATTTGTGAGATAGCCAGGCTTCTAACAGGAAATAGTATGTTTTCCGATTCTATCTAAACTAGCTTATGTTATAGTTCACTTATTTTTCTGCTAGATCAGCAAGCTTTGCTGCCTTGGGAAGTAAAAAAAAAAAGTGTTTTTGCCTGTCCTGTTCATTCACTAATGCTGGGCTGAGAGTTAACCAGCAGCACACAGGCTTGGCTTCAGAGCCAGGCAGCTGTGTCAAACATTTTCATGTTCCCTCTCTGAAAAGCTTGAGCAAATGTTTCTATTGCTATGGCAGCAAACTAATACCCAGCAGTTAATCAAAACTCATCTCACTTGCTTTCTGTGTGCATGTACCTGTCCTCTGGTATCAAGTCTGAGAGTGCCTGGTTGCTTTCCTGTTAAACGTATCTATGCTCAGACTCAACACAAACACTTCTCAGCAAGAAGAAATTAAGGTTAGAAATTAAGCTCCCAAAAGAACTGTGTGGCATGAATCAAAGACAGCTGCAAATGTGGTAAAAAATTATTTCTTTCCTCCAGCACTTCCACTTGTCAGCCAGAGGCATTTAAAAGGCTGCTGGTGAGTTCAGTGCGTGCTTGAGATGTGGGGAAAGCACAAATGTGGCAAGAAGTTGACAGCATCTGCTTGCTTGCTGACCCCTCCATCTGCTGCAAAAGAAGTGAGGAGTGGGTTCCTTGGATGTCACAGCAGTGTGAGCGGCTGTGACCCTCCTGGCAGACCAGGAACCAAGTGCTGGGTCCCGTGTTTTGGTCACAACAATCCCATGAAATGCTACAGTCTTGGGAAAGAGTGACTGGAAAGCTGCATGGAGGAAAAGGATCTCAGGATGCTAAGTGACAGTTGGCTGAGCATGAACCTGCAATGTGCCCAGATGGCCAAGAAGGCCAATGGCATCCTGGCCTGTATCAGAAATAGCGTTGCCAGCAGGAGGAGGAAGGCAGTCATTCTCTTATACTTAGCTCTGGTGAGGCTGCACCTCGAGTGCCACATTCAGTTTGGGGCCCCTCACTCTAAGAAAGACACTGAGGCCCTGGAGCATGTTCTGACTGATGCAATGAAGCTGTGAGGGGTCTGGAGCACAAGTCTTATGGGGAACAGCAGAGGGACTGGGGATTGTTCAGTCAAGAGAAGAAGAGGCTCAGGGGAGACTTTACTACTCTCTAGAACTGACTGAAAGGAGGTTGTAGCAAGGTGGCCGTTGACCGACCTCTGCTTGTAAGTAACAACAATAGGATGAGAGGTAATGGCTTTAAGTTGTGCCAGGGGAGGTTCAGTTGGATATTAGGGAAAATTATTCTCAGAAGGAGTACTGATGCAGTGGCACAGGCTGCCCAGGGAGGTGGTGGAGTCACCATACCTGGTGGTGTTCAAAAGCTGTGGAGATGTGGCACTGAGTGACATGGTTTAGTGGACATGATGGGATGGGTTGGTGGTTGGACTTGCTGATCTTAGTGATCTTTTCCAACATTAGTGATTCTATGATCTCAGAGAAGCACAGAAACACAGAATATCTCAAGTTGAAAGGGACACACAAGGGTCATTATTCCAGCTCATGGATCTGTACAGGCATAGAGGAATGGATGGGGTGGGCAGATATCCTTGCTAGTAGCCCAGGGATTCCTCGGCCACCAATGTTCCTGGACAACTTGTCTTTCTGATCCTCCTCACCCTAAGCCTTCCTTTCTTCACAAGAATTGTGGAAGAAGCATTGCTGGCAAGCTGGCAGGGCAAGTGATTTGGGCCTCAGTGAGGAATCATGGCTTGGCTGGGCAAATCAGTGCAGAGTACCTCCATGTCTAACATGAAGGTTAATTCAGCATCAGGAGAGAAGAGGTGCGTGGGCAGGCTCAGCATCCCTGTGTCTGCAATGAGTCAGACACTCCAGAGACACAATCAGCAGAAGATGAGAGGGAGAAGTAGGTCAGAGTAGACAAAGGCACAAAGGCATTCATCTGCTGGATCATGCAAACCAGGAGGCAATAGAGGGAGGTTTCTGTCCCCCTGTGTACATGACAGGGAGAGCACACGTCATCCTGAACCCTGTTGGAGAGGTGATGTTTGATGACTGGCAGCTGGAGAAGCAGCTCAGGCTGGGAGGAGGGTGCCTACTCAGGCTCCACCTGGCTGAATAACCAGAGAACATTGCAAAGCGATGGGGAGTCTCTTAATTAGGTACTCGTTGCATCAATTAGCAAAGGTAAAAGCATTGGCCTGTCTGGATTAATTGACAGAGTGAGTGAGTAGGGCACCTGATATAGGCACCCTTGGCCTGCCTAGGGACAAGGCAAGCTTGCTTGGTGGACTTGGGGCTATTTTAAGTCTAGAAGGAAAGCAGTCACTTTTAGATGGAACAAACAGCTTCAAAAGCTTTTCTGTGCTCAGAAAATTGCAGATGAGTCAGATCTGAAAAAAAGGAGCACCTCATTTCAGGCCAGGTATGTTCCTGAGGGCATGCTCTCAGCCAGGCTTTAAGTGGTTGGGAGATGGACTGTCCATCAGTGAGACCTGGTGTGGGCATGGCAGTGGGAGTAATTTGGAAGGTTTGATGTTAAGGTGTAAATAAGAGTTAGAACACTGGACTGGAGAAGTGACCAGCAAGCAAATAAGTTTTTACAGAGCCCCTTCAAAGGGGTAATTATTAAGGACTACATAGGGAGGGAATTTAATCAGTGGCTGAGAACTGTGGCCATTGAGCACAGTGTGAAGTACGTGAGTCTAAGAGGTTAGGAATGGAACTGAGATACTTGACTTGTCAAAGGAATAGGAAGTTTAATTAGGAGAGGTTCTTCTGAAATATTTTGAGGTGTTCAAATCTGATGGCAATTTCTGCCTCCACTCTGGAAAACTTCCTCTGCCACTGTGGATGAATTACTATCCAAAGGTAATGTCAGAGGAAATTTTGGGCCTATGTAGAAATGCTCACTGCTGAATTGCAATGACAAAACTTCTTGGCTGGATAGAATGGCATGTATCTGAAATAATGAAAATCCTTAAAGGATCTTTTCAGCCACGATCACATCTGACAGTGGGATTTTGGCAACAATGAACAGTCATGGGATTTTGTTTTCAGCTGCTTTGCTAATGCTACGCTTGATAGCACTAATGCAAGAGAAGTTTAAAGTGCACCTTTTCCTTCTTAGAATCATAGAATCATTAAGGTTGGAAAAGACCTCTAAGATCAACTAGACCAACCACTGATCCATTGCCACTGTGCCCCTAACCACGTCCCTCAGTGCCACATTTCCATCTTTCAGAATATCTCTGGGCTTGGTGACTCTGCCACCTCTCTGGGCAGCCTGTGCTGTGTAAGTGGCACTGCCACTCTTTCTGAGAAGGCATTCTTTCACTTGAGAAGGGCTCATTAAGCGTGTCATGTAAATTAAAAATGGTGCACAGTAGTACAATTGTAAAGGATGCTCTGAAATCCAGTCACCCTAGGATGCATCACCCTAAGTGAAAGAATGTAAAAAAAAGTTTTTTCATAGTGCTAAGACTTCTCAAGAGAGCAACCATAGGAGCAGTGAATAGGAGGCTCCTGAGATTGCTGCATTGTGCATGAAGAAAACATACCATGGGTTGCATGTGATTTCGTTTGCATCAACTTTCTAGCTCTGCATGGAGCCATCTCAACCCAACCCATTACACTGTGTGGCTTTTGCTGAAGGTGCTCAGCTCAAGGTCACGGTGTCTCCTCTGGAGCTGCTGAGGGCAGTAGGGGACTGTCATGTCCACAGCTCTGAGGCAGTCACATCACACAGCTTCCATCTCGCATCTGCATAATCCATCACTTTTAAAGACATTTCCTTCTATCGGGTAATATAAAATGTTGTTCATTGTGTCAGCCAGCAGGAGGTTTCATAGGTCCTTTAGGCAACTTAAACAGCTATTAATCAAAAAAGGCCTCCACCTTCTTCGTGCTGTTAATGCTGTTGTTAGGTTGGAGGCAGAATAATTTATGGCATTTCCTGATCCTGTTAGCTAGAATGTCTGATTAATTTTGGCTCTGGGATTAAGTCAGCAAAAGAAATTTGACTTCCCCAAGCAGGTGATATATATCTTCCCCCCCACATGCAGGAGGGATGGAGCGCCGTCTTTCTGCCAGCGTTTTTATTGTGTCCTCCACTATAGCCAGAAGGTGGCATTATGTACTCATTTTATTACTGCTGCTGACTAGGGACTGAATGGGTTTCAAAACCCAGGACGTGGTCACCTTGATTTTGACCTGGGAGGGAAAGCGCTTGCATTTGATGCTGGAGGCACTGTCCCTGCCTCCCAGCACAAGCTACAGCAGCACATGTATTTCTGGTTGTTTTTGCTCTCAGAAAATGAGTTATCAATAACTTAACTATCAGACAAAATTTTGCTTTTGTCATATTTTTTAATTCTTGGGACTCAGGTGCTTTTTTGGTGTTGCTGTTACATTTTGTCCTGCTCCTTACATCCATTCTGTGCTTCTTAGGCAACAAAGTTAGGGGTCAATATGATTTTTTGTTTGTTTGTTTACTTCTTCCCAGCTTTTCCTTCCTCTAGAGAGCTCCTCTTTCCTTTTTCTTTCTTTATTTGTTGTCATACCTTTTTATCAAGCGGGCGAAGGATCCTTTAGTACCTTCACCAAGCAGCAGGGCATTTGTTTTTTTATGTGGTTGTTTCCCTGTGAGGCCAGGGAATGCCCAAGTTGCTCTCCATGGGCACAGATATGAAACAGCCATGCAAAATACCATGCTCTTCCCTCCATGCCCATCACCTCCATTCTTTCATTTGCGTAGCCATGCAACTGATTCAGTAAGCTTCAAGAACTCTCCCCCTCATTTTTAGGCTCTGTAGGCCAGAAGGAAAGGCATTTCCATGCCACTGCTGGATGTGTGGCTGCAGCCTGGACAAATAATGCAGAATTTTGGATCCAAAGCTGTCAGGAGGATGCTGTGGAGAAGTGACCATAGCCCTGAGATGCTGCAGTTTATATTCTTGCTCCATTAACTTTGACAACAGACTTCTGAGACCTGAGTTTTCTAAGCCAGACTGATAAATCATGCTAGTAACAAATGGGATTTACTTGTGCATAGCACAGAGCTATGCAGATAAAGTTAACTTCTTGTGTGAGGGCTCTAGTGTGAAGCAGATGTTTGGCACAGTGTTAGACTGCTGAAATGTTGGGCTGGGGTTGTGGAAACTCAACAGCTCATAGTGCATGCTTTGAGCTTTTGCTGTCAGCTTCTCCACAGCCAGAGCTCGCTGGGGGGTGATTCTGTGTGGTCAGAGCTGATGAGATGGGGCCATCCACAGCCGGAAAGCAGTTACGGATACAGCAATGCTTGGACATACTTGACCTGTTCACTTTGCCTCCCAGCAGCTAATGATGCTCAACAACTTCCAGTGGGGCTATCACCTGGTGGAGTCTGAAAATGTTTGCACCCAAAGTCTTATTGTGCCCTTGAAAACATCTGATTTCAGAAGCTACCAAATACTTTGTAGTCCTTTGTTGAAAAAAAGAGCCTTTAAAAATAGCTTATCCTTTTAAAATAGCTCAGCAGAAGACCTGCTGGAAATCATGACTTGTTTTTCATAACCTTGACCTTAATTTCTAAAAGGATGGCATCTTCTGAATAACTCCTGCAGTATTACCTGACATAGAGTTTGAAGCCATGCCCACACAGGTCCCTGAGGCTTATAGCAGGTTTGGAAGGACCTGCATGGCAGAAGCTACAGTGGCTCTGTGAGAGGGAATTGGGTCACCTCCTGCTTTCTGTATCACCAGCAACACTGTGAGCTTGGTTCTGATGGCAGGACCTTTATCAGCGCTGATGAATGGCAGAGGGGATTTTCATCTGTTTTATTAATTTTGCAAGTCTGGCAGTTAGAAAAGTGGTGGGGTCACCGTCCCTGGAGGTTTTCAAGAAATGTGGAGATGTGGCACTGAAGGACATGGCTTGGTGGCATTGTGGTGATGGGTTGCTGGCTGGATGTGATGATCTTAGTGTTCTTTTAAACCTAATGATTCTATGATTCTGTGAAAGATCACATCTTGATTTCTGTGCCAGGAACTTTGACTAAGGGAGTTCCTGAGTGGTCAGAGTGGTAATGTTGCTTCTTAAAAGTCTACAAGTTCTTGCAGCTCCTGCGTGCCCAAGGGTGGGAAGCAGGCACAAAGCCAAACAGGCAGGCTTGGGAAAAACAGTTTTGGTGCTGTGAAAAGAAATGCTGATGGATCTGAAGGCACTGCCTTTGTAAAGGAGATACTGAGACAGGAGCAGTGTGTTTTGACAACAGAAATAAACTCCTTTCTTCTGTGGGATGTTTGGCAAAAAAAGGGAAAGGCAAGCTGGATTTGGCTTCTCTTCTGCAAGGTGTTCAGTGGTTAGCAAGATGGAAGTTTTGCCTTGTCTTGTCTCACCTTCAAGCCCTGTGGCTGTGCAGTATCTGGAAGGAGGGAGCCAGCCATGGGCATGAGCCTTGCACAAAGAAGCACAATGGCTGGGCGTAGCTCGGGATGAAAGTTTTAAACAAACACACTGAGATTTGCTTTTGCTCCTCATCTTCTCTTTGCTGTCTTTTCCCCAGAACCTGAGCATCTCTGTCCACAGCCAGCTGTGTCCCATGTGTAGGGTATTTCCTTGCTTTCCCAAATCCAGTTATCCCTAACTCATTCCCAGCTCATACTTCTTTCACCTTCCTGCCCTCCTCTACAACCACAATAAGATCTAGGCCATCTTTTCCATCTTTTCCATCCACATACCCTCTGCAAATTGGAAGCTACTCCACTGCTCAAGTGAGACTACTTAGGGCATGGGGACCTTGCCCTTGTGTTCCAAGGGCTCTACTGAGTAACAGTGATATTTCAGCTGGGACTGGGAACTGAACAGATGGGAGAGCATTCTGTGCTTCTATGTACACAGAATATTTTTCTACTCTTCATGGCAAAAAAAAAAAAAAAAAAGTAAAAATCTTAATAAGGTTGCAAGCAGTATAGCATGATCAGCAAAAGGAAAGGGCATGGCAACTTTTTTCTGTTTCTGTGAGATGCTGTGGGAATTTAGGCACAGAGAGACCTTTCTTTTCATTCTTCAGACGGAGGAGTCCACGGCACAAATCCTAAAGAGGGCAGCAGAATCCAGCCCACACCTCCTGCCTGTTGCCAGCTGAAGCACGCCGGTGCTGCTAATTGAACGTGCTTTATGTACGAGTGCTGTTCAGTACATGCATCCAGGACGCGCGGCGTATCGTTCGGTGATATACAAACCGACTGGGACAATTTACAATGGTGATTTTTCTACTGACGGGTAAATTAATGCTCTCTATTATAGACATTTAATCAGTGCCAGCTCCCTAAGTCTCTAAACAGGCCACCAAGATAGAAGATGGATTGTTCTGAATGCATCATATATAAACCAGGAATGCTTCATAAGAACATAAATGACATGTTTGTTTCCCAGAGCTACAAAGACGGCTCTGTTGTAGGAAGGAGTGTTGACAACCTCCTACTGAGAGACATGGAGTGGACAAGACATTGGTTTGCAATGGAGTTTTTGTCTTGTCTTTTATTTTCTCAGGGCAAGAACACCAAGATGACCCAGAGATGGGGAGGAAGAACATGTTAGCCCTGTACATGGTCATGATTATTTGTGCAGATGGGATCCTGGTGATGCCTGCACTGCCTGTGTTGTATGGAGATGCTGCCCTGCATTGTGCTTTGTGGCAAAATTAACAGATCATCACATCACTCTGAGATTTGGCTTTGTATTTATACAGGTGGCCAAAATGCTAAAGATGCCAAAGCCTCACTCCAACCCCTTTTTTTTAATGTTATTTCTCTTTTCATTTACTACAATATAATAATTCTTTGCTTGGCTCAGTGGGAGAACAGATTTGATTTTGAAACAGAGAACCATCTTCGTAATCCAATGGGATAAAATACACCATTTATGATCATGGCTGAATGCATCTCTAGTGACATAAATAAAAGGGGAATGCAGAAAGTGATGGTCAGTCTGCCAAGATACCCAACCCAAAGTGTCCATGAAAGTCAGTAAGGCTTAGGCACTTAAATTTCAATCAAGCTTAAAGTGGGATTTGAGTGTCCACATGTCTCAGAAAATTATTTCTTTTGGTTTTTCTCAGGTCTGCAAGATTATGATTAGGAAATCAGGCTAACTGCACAGCTGGGAAGATGGTCATCACATTCCTCCTGTCCGAATGGCCCGGACCCACCAGTAGTTTCTGCTGATGGAAAGCCACAGAGCTCGGTAAGAAAGAACTGATGCTGGAACTTCAATTCTTAACACCCATAGAGTATCTTGCATATGAAATTAAAGAGAAACAGGAGTTTGTGGCAGTGTTTCTGGGGTAACAGGGATGTGGTAGGGACCTTCTAAGACATTCCAACTTTGTCCGCTTCTCTTGTGTGCAGTCTGGGCATGAATGGAGATTTTTATGCCTAGTCCTGAAATTCCCTGCTTTGTGAGCCGGCTTATCTCCTCCATAAGGCACACATGGGTATTATTTATGGCCCAGTAAATTCACACCCAGTGCAGTGGGTGCCATGTGGCTGCAGGCTCCTGGCTAGCAGCACTCAGGCACAACTCGACTCCCTGTAACTCATGTGCTGTCCCAGCTCCTGCATTAATTGCAGGAGCTAAAAGCCCTGGAAGTGTGAAATAGCAAAAATAATTACTGTAATGAATTAATTAAATAAAGTATGTTTTGCGGAAATTAAAGATATTGCTCTCTATAACTACCTGAAGGTAGGTTGTAGTGAGCTGGGGGTCGGCCTCTTCTCTCGTGTAACTAGTGATAGAACCAGAGGGAATGGCTTCAAGCTGTGCCAAGGGAGATTTAGGCTGGACGTTAGGAAATACTACTTTTCTGAAAGAGTGGTCAAGCACTGGAATGGGCTGCCCAGGGAGGTGGTGGAGTCACCGACCCCGGGGGGTGTTCAAGGAGCGTTTGGATTTTGTGTTGAAGGATATGGTTTAGTGAGAACTATTGGTGATAGGTGGATGGTTGGACTGGATGATCTTGGAGGTCTTTTCCAACCTTGGTGTTTCTGTGATTCTGTGAAATAGCCTCTGTGCAGGCCAAAAAGAGAAGATCTGTGCAGGGGACCATGCTGATCACCTTTTATTAAGGACCTTCTATTGTAGCATCCATATCAGTTTATGACTAGGTCTGTGCTGTTATGGCTATATACAGGCATGAATGCAAGATAGACAGGTATTTTGGATATTTCTGTATAGAAATGCTGAAGTGCAATTCCCTTTTTAATTTCCTTGCTTTTTGAAGGAGACTTTTATGCAAGTTGATTTGTTCCCCTTGAAACATGGTCTGATAGTGATAGTACTAGGGGGAATGGCTTTAAATTAAAAGAGGGGAAATTTAGATTTGATGTTGGAAGAAATTCTTTGTACTCAGAGGGTGGTGAAGCTCTGGCACAGCTGCCCAGAGAGCTGTGGGTGTCCCTCCCTGGAGATGCCCAAGGCCAGGCTGGATGGGGCCCTGGGCAGCCTGTACTGGTGGGGGGCAACCAGCCTGGTTGCACTGGCAGTGCTAGGTAATGTTTAATACCACTTTTAACAGAAATCCTAAGTGTTTTAGCTCTGATCAGATCTTAAATCTTTCTTTAGAGTTTTTGTGTTCTGAAGGGTTAAACATACTCCCAGTTGTCAGACTGATTCACTCACCACAGGAGGAACTTCTGCTTCTCCCTTGGTGCAATCTGGCCATGAAATAGTATTTGGGCACAGGAGCTACTCAATAAGCTGTGAAAACAAGAATGAGAATGGTATTTAATGGGCCTCTTAAGTAATGCCTGTACTTGGGATTTCGCACGTTCCTGGCATTCCTGCTGATTGTGGGCTGCCATGCAGATAACTCCGATTTGCAAAAAGGCACAACTGTTATTAGGATTGACTCTTGCTATTTCAGTGTTTGTCATTTACAGTGAGATCAGGTTTAAAAAGGTAATTAAGGGAAGAGCTTCCTAGCTTTGGCCTATTCTTGTTCTTAAGCACTGAAGTTCAAATAAGTTACAGCCACCAAATGTTGTACCCATGTCTTATCATAGGGCTGGGCTCACTACGAAGTCCCCCAATGACAAATATTTGTTTCATTTATGACAAAGTGGGACTGTGCTTGGCCAAGCTGTGACACATCTGGGACTCAAGACTTTTGGAAGGGAGTTTCAAAGGTGTACACCCACCATCTTGGTAGTGTGTACTGTGCAGAAGCTGAGTATACAGGTGAATCTAGGGCTGCCTGGGAGAATTTGCTGCTCTTGGGATGAGCTGGAGGTGCTTTGGTGCTGTTATAGTCCTGGCTAATTTATCCCAGCACCTTGAAGCTGTAGATCTTCGTTGCAAAATATACCCTGCTGTGGGTTTGAGACAAACACCATGGTCTCCTACTGGCCAATGGACACAGCCCCATTAAGCACAGAGCTCTGGAGTGCAGTGACTAACAGTTTCACACAGGCTTGCTGGGTCCCAGTGAAGGTAAATTCTTCTCTTACTCTACAATTTCCAAAGCCTGTAGCGAGTCCCCATACTGGTTACGTGTCATTTCTGGGTACTCCGTAGAAGAGGAACTCAGCCTGGACCCCTCTTTGAAGCTTGCAAATAGAATTAAACTGTGGAATTTAATAAGTACCCCTTGGGTAGCAGAAGTCCCTTGTGCCACATGTCACCTTGTGGGAGGCAGCCCCAGCGCAGCTGTGTCCAGATGTGCTCTCTCAGAGTTGCTGCATGTGATGGCCAGGTGTAGCCAGCAGCATTTGCTCGAAGCTGCAGGTTGTCCTTTTGGGTCATGCTAGAGGCTGGCACTTGCCATTGCACAGCTAACAAGAAATTTAATGTTCAGGATTATCAGATTTTCCAGCTACACTGCCGAAACAGCTGTCAGCAAATCTGTGGCAGCAGATGTTGAGATGCTATTCAGTGTACAGCGTGCTAATCTGCTGCTCTGCTTTCCCCAATTAGACAGTCGTTTCTTGCTATCACAGGAGGAAACTTGGAAAATATTGTTATAAGAATGTGAAGCAAAGTAGCCTGGGTCCTTCCAGACTAGGGCACGGTAGGCAGGTGCTCACTTTTTCCAGTTAACTGACTTTATATAAAGTCCTGTCAAGAGAATCATTCCATGCCTCACCTTCCCTCTGCTCTGTGTGCATTGTTAGGGAAGATTGTCTCAAAGGAGCAGGGAAGAAACTTGTGGCGACAGGGATTGTTTGGAAGTGAAAGTGAGAGCAATGTCTTGCTTTAGCTGCTCTTCACAGAATCACAGAACGGCCAGGGTTGGAAGGGACCTCAAGGATCGTGAATCTCCAACACCCTGCCACATGCAATGCCACCAACCTCCCCATTTAATACTAGACCAGGCTGCCCAGGGCCCAATCCAACCTGGCCTTGAACACCTCTAGGGACGGGGCATCCACAACCTCTCTGGGCAGCCTGAACACTTATCTAATCTCTAGCTACATAAAGGGGCTGATCCAGCTGGCAGGAAATTTGGTGCAAGTTGTAGCATCACTTGTGAATTCCTTTCTATTTGAGATGTACATTAAATGGTTTTGGGTGTAGGAGAAAGCATCAATTAGTCAATTCACAGAGCAAGCTGTTAATGAAACCCAGGCTCCTGTGCTGCCCTTTGATATTCCAAATGGAGCTTTGGAGATAGAGTTTTCTAGTGCTCAGCAACTAAAACTCAAATTCAAAAGAGACATCTGATGTATCCCAGGTTCATTTGCCTCTTTTTCAGCAACAGTGCTCATTTTAGCAGAGCTTCCAACAGTGTGAGCCTCAGTTTTTGAAACTTAAAAGGTCTTAAGCCCATACTTGAACAGTGTCTTAGAATCATAAGATAAGCTTGGGTTAGAAGGATCTTCCCTCTTCACGATTTGGAGACGTGCAGCGATGGCCTGACTGGGATAAACGTGCTGGCTGAACCCTTGCTGGTGATCTCTGAAGATATGTCACGATGTCTCCTTCTTGATCTGTTAGATGAGTGCAGCTCCTTAGTGAATTCATACATGGGCAAATCCAACACACGCTTTCTGCACGCTGCTCCCCTGTAACAACATCAGCAGACAGCTGGACTTTCAGAATGTAAAAAATGGTGTACGGTCTGGCAGAGCTCCTCTGAAATCTCAAGTTATTTTTCATCTCTGGAATTTCTGGATAAAATCCAAGAATAGAAAAAGAAAAGTAATTACTTATTTTTACCCCAAATAACGTTTCTTTTATGGGAAATCCAGCTGTTACAGGACTGAGGCCACAGACGTGAAATTGGAAGTAAAAGTGAAGATGCTTTCCTGGATTTTCTCTGTCCAAGAAAGATAGATAGAAAATGCAGCACGTCACCTGGATTGTACTGTGTCAGCCTCTGACCTGGTCATACAAGACCTCTCCTACGAGTAGAAAGGGAAAATTATTTTAGGCTGTGGTTCATCTCATCTATTTTGGAATGAGACAACTGATGTCTTGAAAGTGCTTCTGTGGCTGCAGAGAAAGTCAGTGTGACTTGCTCAGAAGCAGAAGTCATGTTGCTGGCTTCTTTTGGTCAGATAAATCCTGCCTACAATGATGATGTAACAGAGTTTAGAAAAACACAAAAGGAGAGACTGTATTTGTATAGCACAGTGTTTTGTACCCAGTTATTATTAAGGGTAAATGCACATTCTTAAAACCATCTCATCTCTCAATAGAGTCATCTGTGTGAACTGACAGGAAAGGTCTACAAAACACGTTTCATAATGTCTGGAGAGGATGCATCCTAAACTCATTGTTTGCCTTGATCTGGAAGGAACTGCCTCTGGAGGGAAAAAAGGAGGAAGTGAGATACAATAACTGTGATTTCTGAGAAACTTTGCAAGGAAATGAAACAATAACAGAGAAGACCATCAGCAGTTCCAGGTAAACAATGTGCCTCTGTGTTGACTTTACATCTATGGGAATTTTCATCCTTTATTATTAAACTCCCATGGCTAATGCTGCAATTAGTAGTCTCTTACCAAAGTCATTTAGAGATTAGCTGTAGTGTCTGTGGAAGAGCTCTCTTGCAGTTTTACCCTGTATTCACATTTACATTGATTCTAAACCTTTTGAATTCCAGTGGAAAAAACCCGCCAGTTTCAACTTCTATCTCCTTCTTTTGTTGCCCAAATGGTGATTTCTGCCTCGTTGTCAACTCTGGTAGAATCTGGATTTTGAAAAACAGTTTTGCTGAAGCCATATGCAGATGTTTTGCTAAAGCACAGCTGACCTTCCTATGAAGAGAGGCTAAGCGGGGCTTAGTCAGCCTGGAGGAGAAAGCTGCAATGAAACCTCACTGCAGCCTCCCAGTACTTGAAGGGAGCTTATAAGCAGGAAGAGACTGACTTTTTACACTGATAGTGATAGGACAAGGGGGAGTAGCTTTAAACTAAAAAGGGGGGAGATTTACATTAGATGTTATGAAGAATTTCTTCACCCACAGGGTGGTGAGGCCCTGGCGCTGCTGCCCAGAGAGCTGTGGGTGCCAAAAGCCTGAAGGTGCTCAAGGCCAGGCTGGATGGGACCCTGGGCAGCCTGAGCTGGTGGGGCTGCAGCCAGCCCATTGAAGGGGTTTGAAGCTGGGGGGGCTTTAAGATCTCTTCCAATCCAAATCATTTATGATTTTGTGATTCTAAGATTCCATGTTCACTCTGTCGTTCTGAAAAACCTGCTTCAGAGATGCCCATTGGCATGCAGTCACGACTTCTAAAACAAAGAAAGCTCATTCATATACTGACCTCAAGTCATCCTCAAGCTGTTGCAACATGTTTGTCTGTCTGCCTTCATGGAGGTGCTCTCTAACCCTATCTCTTCCTTTATCAAATGGTGATGAGGCAATCACTTCTTTCAGCATCCACAATGCAGGATTTAGACTGAGATTTATTTTATTCTGGTAAGCTCACTTGCTGCTCTCACTTGAACTGAATGCAATATTACCCTGAAGAATAAAATGAAGGAATTAATTGACATTTTAATTAATTACAACTTTAATTAATATTCACCAGAGTGACAAGTGTTCTGGAATGAAATACAGGAGTAATTCCTGTGGAAAAAAAAACAGAAAGGCCCTGCAGTTTGTGTTCAGGTTAAATGAAGATCTTGTAGCTGAATATATGATTATATCAGGTACCTGCTGACTCTGTTCAGTGCCTGGATTTTCAAATAGCTTGACAACTTCTTTATTAACAATAGCAGGGACACAGAGCAGGGCTTAGAGATAGAACATGCGTAGAATGTGACTAGAAAGCATAGTCCATAATCTGAACAACAAAATGTCTAAAAATCTTCATTCAACTGAGGAACCGTCCCACAAATAGAAGAGAGTCAGTGAACACACAGCAAGATGGATTCGGCCACTGTTTGTGACAAGAGATGGTGGTGGGGAGTTCCCTGTTGTTCTGCTTTTCCAGCATGATTTGTTGTATATCTTCTGCAAAGTCAATTGCTAAAACTGAATAGTGCTAAAAATGTAGTGCTGGCCTAGAAACAAATAATGAATAGCAGTCATAGTCACTCTGCTGTGATTCTACTGTGATTCCATTCCATGGCAGGCTAGGCTGAGCAGATAAACTGATTTTTGAGTTGTACCTCTTGTCCTGGCACTAGGCACCAGTGAAAAGAGCCTGATGTGATATTCAGAAACAGTAGAAATAGCATTCCTTTCCCCACTGGAGAGCATGACCACACAATACATCCAAGCTGAACCAAGGATTCATTTTCACTAAAAAAAAAAGAGCTGCCTTTTCTTTAAGCTCTCCTCCTTTTCCTACTCACCTTCTCTCCAGAGCAGCCCTGGTCTGCTAGTCTGACCCTTGCATGAGCCAACTCCACTTTTTGCTGGGTTGCTTTTCTGCTGGATTAGTGAGTTTGATTAGTTCAGCAAGCACAAGGAAAACCACCTGGGTCAGGAAGAGAGAAGCATAAAAGCACAGCAGGGAGTAAGGAGGGTAGAGGGGTAAGGACTGCAGTCTCTTACTAGCACTGACCTTTAGACTGGCTCAGCTCTGTCATCTAAAGGTCTTAGAGAAAGTTTCACTTCTTGGATAACTTTCTGAATATAGTTTGGATATTAGGAAAAGCTTCTCTGAGAGAGTGGTCAGGCCTTGGTGCAGGCTGCCCAGGGAAGTGGTGGAGTCACCGTCCTTGGAGGTGTTCAAGAGCCATGGGGATGTGGCACTGATGGATGTGGTCAGCGGGCATGGTGGGATGGGTTGGGGTTGGACTACATGATATTAGTTGTCTTTTCCAACCTTAATGATTATATGATTCTGTGTTTCTATGAATAATTCTTTACCAGTTCAGAGAAAGTGTTTTCATCTTGGATAGAGTTTTCATTAGTTGGGGTGCTGTGTAGAAGACTGATTCTGTATTCATTTCTTAGGGAAAATTCCCTTGGGCTGCAAATGGAGCTGCTGCAACACTAGAGCAGTCCATGGTGGAGGCTGAACCTGCTCATTTAGAGATCCTCATTCAGTCATGCTCCTTGTTGGTAATGGTGACAGTTTCCAAGCTGTCTTAGATATCATCCCATGATTTATGAGTCATTGTCATATCCCTCTGTGATGATCAAGTAGCGATGACCCTGGAGCTTTTTCCATCACATGAACAAACCCTACATTCGTGTGCTTTGGCTGTGGTTAGAATGAAACTGAGAACTCTTCCTGAGCCTGCTGAGAGTGGTTATATGACGTTTCCAGAGTAGAGGAGAAGTAGATGAAGTTGGACTTATCTGTCCATCTGTTAGCTAAGCTGCAGGCTATACTCTGAGACTTGATTGGAGACTTGATGACTCCTATAAGAGGAGTAAAAGCTGAAGCTATTATCACTGAAGAGGTGAACAGGGAAAACCATAACAAGACCTGGTCCCGTAGTGACTCCAGAAATTAGATGAAAATACAGACTGTTCTGTGAATCAGCTATGCAGAATTAGGCCCTGAAATGCAATGGAATTTAGTGCAATCCCATCTTTGCCAATTAAATATCTTCCGCTTCTAAATCAAAGGAAGCTTCAATGTTAATTTTAAAATATTACTGGCATTTATCACAGTAATTACTTTAGCCATGTAAAACTCCAGACACCATAAACAGTGTTGATACTGTAGATTAAATGCTCCCAAGGTACGTATTACTGATGCTACAAAACACACACGCAGACAAGGATATTCTTCTCCAAACTCAGTGTTTGTTGTGCTCACACGAGACTGTCTGAGCACAGAGTGGCCTTATCACATTTCTGAAAATGACAGATGTGCCTTGTCAAAGCCCATCCATCTTTATCAGTGACTATATCTTGGAGGAGTAAAAGAAGTATACCCAGTCAAACATACTCACCAACTATAACATGAAAACATTCTTCATTGCAATTATATTCATAAATTAATAACTTGGAAAGGTGGGAAACGTTTGTCTCATGGATTTTGAATTTCCAGTCTTCTGTTTCCAAATTCTCATTCTCTGAAGATCAGATCTCTCTGATGTCTTAAAGATATTTATGGGTGCATAATCCATAAGAAAAGCATGCCTGGTTATTTGTCAGCTCAGGAAATGCTCATCTTAATCTATTGACATCTGGGTGATCTCTGCACCCAGATATTTGTCTGTGTAGGTAGGGAATAAAGGAATATTTATCAGACCACCTTCTCAAGAGTGGACAGGCTTGTGTAGATAGGTACTGAAAGATGGATAGGGCAAGCATTTGGGAATATTAGAAATAAGCTAGAAACCTGTAAGAGAGCAAACTATAAGGTACGTGAAACCAGAAAGTGGCCAAGATTACACATGTGAAGTGTGACTACTAATTTAATCAGTTGATGTCAAAATTATCCATAATATGACTGATTGCAGTCAATCCTGACTAGGAAATACACGCTCAACATCTGTGAACTTTAGTAAAGAACACTGTCACCAAAGAAGGTAATGAGATTTCTCTTTGGATTTGTACTTGGCCCTATGGGTTCCCTGCAGACGTGGTAAATAATGGTGACAAAAGGCTCCCTGGACTTATGTGTTCTGTGTGTTTGCCTCTTTACAGGAGGAAGTTGTATAGAGTCTGCATTCATAGGAGGTGGTTGAGTTGTTGGAAGCAATGATATACATATATAGTGCTGTGTACTACGTAAAATACACATTTATCAGTCCATTGCTCTTTATTAATAGGAGGAAATACACTAAAAAGTAAATCAACCTCAAGACACAGAATGGAGATAAAGCTGTTTTATGGCATCTGAAAGCATGTGGAAAAATTGTTGAATAGCTGGAACTTATTTGGCACTGGGGAAACGATTTGTTGAACTGTTAGTAAAACTTCAGAAGAGAAAGGACTTATCAGAAGGCATCCATACAAGTGCTGAGCTTTCTTTCCATGAAAATCATGGTCAGATAGGGCACTTGTAATCACTAGGACCACCGGAAAAATTGAGCACATATTCTCACAGTGAATGACAAAGACAACAGTGGGAAACACAACATGCATGCAGGACCCAAGAGAACCCAGGATCGAAAGCAGAGCAGCCTGCTGAGAACATACTTCTTGAGCAGTGATTGGCACAGCTTAGGCAAAGTTGCAATGGTAAGCAATTGCTTACACTTAACCCAAGGGTAGATTTCATGGCTTGTTAAATTCCATGCAGAGATGTGTCTGCATAGTCTGGCACATACTTAGTCAGCTTCTGTGATGCAGTGCTTCAAACACATGTATGCCTAAGCTGACTTCTTAAAATAATACATATTTTCCTGTAGTGAATGGTATCTGACTTGCCCTCATGCACAAGAATTTGCTTAACATGAATGAATATTTTGTGTCCCGTGGTCACGGCAGCATGTGCTAAATACATAAACAAATATTCTTGCGTATGTTTATACAGAAAATAATCAGTCACTAAGAAGTGGCAGACAATAGAATTGATCATTGCGGTGTGTGCTTGGTTTGGTTTTTTTTTTTTCTTTTTTTGTTGGTTCTTTTTTCCACTTACATTTTCCAGAGGAGGAAATCACTTCAGAAACAGAAATAAAACTGCATATTCTAACTGATTTAAAGCCTTTTACTTAATGTTGCATTTCACACAAGAGATAGGAGAGGGTTTTGATTCTTTCCTTTGTTTGTTTCTAAAACAAGAGATATCAATACACATTTTGCTCTGTTTCTGTTTGCTGCAACTAAGAGTCTTCTGTGATCATCTTTTGCAGGCAGTACGTTGCTGGTTTTTTAAGAACTTATGGTCATTATGGAAGATAAATGACAGTCCTTGGAGCTCATGGCTGAAGTACACATTAGTCACTGGTAAATGATGTATAAAAAATATTCAGCTTGCAAAAAGATAATGGTGGTTCCTATTTGAAAATGCAGAAAAATGCACATATCTGGAGCACAAAAGTGTCTCATCAATATCTCTGTGGGTAGAAAACTAACCTGTCAAGAGGAAAATGTTGGGGAGATGAAGATATTTATGCACGTACTGCACTGATCATAATGATGTAAAGGACTATTAAAGCAAACTTAAAATATTAGATACTGCAAATATACAACTTAATTTTTTTTTTTTTTTTTTTTTTTCCCATGCAACCTAGGAATGCTCTAAGAAATTTTGATAAGGAATTGCTCATTCTACATCTTTGACTGCCAGTGATCCTACCTTTCCCCATTTCACTGTTACCTATAAGTTAAGTAGTTATTCTGGATTTGATCTTTTATTAATGGCAAAGTCCTTCATTCATTGCAGTGCTGGGACTTGAAAGCAGGGAAGACCAGAGGAAAGAGTCTGTTTTGGTAACTGGTATTGCCAGGACTGTAGCAGCATCAGTGACATGGAGATACAGTGACCTTATGCCTACAGTCCTCTCTGGCTGCCTTCTCCTAGACGATGATCATAAAATCATAGAATAATCAAGGTTGGAAATGACTAAATGATGGTCATCATTTGATGACTAAAGATCATCTATTCCAACCGTTGACCCATCACCACCATGATGATTCCCAGGTGTAATTGGTGCCTTATTACAGGGAAAATCTCACTGCCTTCCAGGAAGGGGGCAATTTTGCCACTTTCTCAGCGTGATTATCTCATTTTAGGACTCCAGTCTCAAGATTTTGGTTAGCAGCAGACCTTGCTGAGAACCACATCTCAGTGCCAGGCTCTGTGTGCCATAGCTGCTATGGTGAAGGAAGCAGCAGCCAGGAGAGGAGTATTTAATTTCTAGTCTCTGCTCCAGATCTGTTTCTCCTGTGACACTTCACTGAATCAATTCAACACACTCCTCTGGAAGAAAACAGATATGTATTTTACACATACATAACAAAAGGTATTAAAGTAGCTTCATTTTCTGATAGTGTTCTGGTTCTGCAAAATACCATCTGAGAACCAGGATAAGTGAAGGCAAACAGCAGGAGCATAAGAAAGAGAATGGTGGAAACTAAATGACTGGGGGAAAAAAGTGATAGGATGGACCATCTCTTCCCAAAGCACTGAACCCTTGCCTTTGAGAAGTCATTAAAATCATTGAAACACTGGCACAGGTTGCCCAGAGAGGTGGTGGATGTTCCATCCCTCAAGGTGAGGATGGACAGGGCTGTGAGTGCCTGACTGAGCTGTAGGTGTCCCTGTTCATTGCAGGGGGGTTGGACTGAATGGCCTTGAAAATCCCTTCCAACTCAATTGATTCTATCCAAGTTCAAGGCAGGGAAACACTGCCATGGAGCTGGGTGTGCCAGCAGGAGAGCACATAGGAGTTAGCTCTTGCCTTAATAAGCAGTTTAGTACTTATATAGAGGGCTTAAGAGATTTTGCTGCAAGCCGGAGCCTATCGTACAGGAAAGGGTTACATGTAGGCCACTCATGTCCTAGTATAAAATCAAATGACCAGGCTACTTTTCATTGCCTTTCTCATCAGTAGCCTCAAATTCTGCAGGAAATAGGAGAAGCTGGATGAAGTGATATTAGATGAAAATGGTACAGATAACAGAGAAAGCTGCTTTTACTTATTCTCCACCAGCTCATAGGTGCCATACAAACTCCTTCAAAGGAGGCTCTTCTGCACATAGGATCATAGAACGATAGAATCATCAATGTTGGAAGAGACCTCTAAAATCATTTAGTCTAACCATCAACCCATCACCACCATGCCCACTATGCCCAAACCATGCAATGCTCTCTGTCTCTCTCTGCAGGCACTGAATAATCTCTTAGATAAATACCTTCTTAGATAAATACCTTCACTTCCACCCTGACACTCCCTTGCAGAGGATGGTATGACATTACATCCTGAAAGGTTGCATCCTCCTCTTTTCACAAGAAAATCTGTGAGATGCAAAAGGAAAAATGTTCTTCAGGTCTGGGCATCATCGCTTTTCTCAATCCTTATGCTGAAGCTGTTAACACTTTGAAATGTTGGCATTCTCAGCCTCTCTAACTTCTAAAATCCATGAAAATAAGGAGATATTTTGCAGAAAGGGGAGCCCAGAGAAAATACCTGCCTTCTATAAAACCTTGCCACGTACTGAGGGGGGTACTGAAGGTTAGCTTAATTCCCTCAGCATAACAGAAAGCTCTTTGGTGCTTATATGCTGAAAGAACAAATTGAACCTGCCCACCTTCTGACCTGTGCAGCTCTTGTTTAATGAAAAGCAGTCAAATCCAGCATGTAGCAACTTTATTATCAGAAAAGAGAGAGAAATCTGTTTAGCAACACTTTATTTACTTCAAAAGTAACCTTGAATTGTCAGCTGGAATGGAGTATGTTCCTGTTCTGTATCCACTTCACATTTCCTTTGCTTCCAAGGTTCAAATCCACATGGCCATGAAGCAAGAACAATAGCGCACTGCTGAGTGCCTGGATAAGATATTTATAGGTGCACGTGTAGAGCCAAAGACTGCACCATAGCATTATGTTTTCTAGACGTAAAGCACAGTTACATGTTTTCAGCTTTTTTTTTTTTTTTTTTAAATTTGAAATGAAGACATTCAGCACCATAAAAAGTACAAAATCAGACTCGCTCAGTGGCAGCCCACAGAGCATTTCTTTTGTGAACTCTGCTGCAGGAACAGATGAGAGCAAAATTGCTGCTTTTCTCAGAGAACAAGAAGAGATTTCAAGAAGTCAGTCCCCCACTAGCAAAAGCAGTTACTTCACAGGTGATTATTAGAGCAGGTTAGGAAAGGGTACTCTCATTCACATTTATGTTCTGTAGTCAAGCATAATTAAATTCTATGAATTGTCATCCAAAATGGAGAAAAGTGAGATAGATTCTGGAAATGATCCCTTTTGTATCTCTCTCCTCTCAACTTCACATCTCGCATCTTGGAGCTTTTCCTGCCACACTGTCAGGAAATCTGAGGTGGAAAATAGTTTTGAAGACGTCTTTTAATGAAAGCTTTCTATACTTGGGCTCTGCATCACAAGGAGGATTGAAGATAGATACAAGAATAAATAAAGAAAAAGAAGACAATAAGAACAGTAGAGAAACAATTAATTAGGTTGGGACTCTTTAGCATGAAAAATGACGGACTGACTTTTGCCTACTGGGTTATCTCATACAAAACTAACAAATTAACAAAAAAAACTAGGCATGCCATTTTGGAAATATTTTTAACTGAATACATCAAAGTGATTTGAATAATGTGCTCTCTTCCACAAGCAGTTGACTACAGAGATCTAAAAACTTATTCAACTTAAAGCCTAGCCAACAGAAATCATTGCTGACACTGTCTGAAATGTTCCATATGTGTGGTGTAGCACAGCTATGTACTGCTGTCTGCAAAGCAAAGTTGGGCAAGTTGCTAAGAAAAAGAAAGAGCAGCAAGTTTATGCATTCTCTATCCACGGCCAACATGGGACAAATTATATTGTGCAAATAATAAGTTGCACCAGAGGAGGTTCAAGTTGGATATTAGGAGAATTTTTTTTTCTCAGAAAGTATGGCAATGCAATGGCACAGCTGCCCAGGGAGGTGATAGGATCACCATCCCTGGAGGTGTTCAAGAACTGTGGGGATGTGGCACTGAGGGAATGGACAGTGGGCATGGTGGGGATGGGTTGGGATCGGACTGGATGATCTTACATTCGCAGGGAACAAAGAGGATGAATTAGGGACTCGTAATTGTGAAGCACCACCAAATATCCTCTGGACTGGAGCTTGTAAATTCCCCTGTCTCTGAGTTCCTCCTTGCCTCCCCACTGGAGGTATGAAGCAGTGCAATGATAGCTGATGTACAAGGGAGGCTGACAGCCAGGACACGAGCTGAGTCTGCTCCTGGATGATGAGAGCAGAGGCCTTGTCATGGCCTGCTGCAATATTCATGTGTCTGGGAAACACGTATTGCTTGGCACTGCAGGTCAGGGCTTGTTCTCAGTGGTTTCAATGCAAATCCCAAATAGCTCCTTTGATATCAGTGCGTATGGCTGTGTATGTTTGCATGGATTTGCACCAGTGTGAGCTGTTAAGGACTCTGATTCCTCCTACCAATACTATTTGGAAGCTGTGGGTTTGGGAGATTAGCATTATTAGCAGGCTCTAGGGATTGCTGTTTATTTTAAACTGCAGTTGTACTAATAAAATATGCCTTAAAAATAGCAACATAACTTTTGTGTTCCACTGGTTTCCATATGAGATGCCATGTATTTCCAAGGATATTTTGTTTTTTCTTTTTTCTTTCCTAACTGCTAGGACTGGAAATTCAATGTCATGTCTGAGTGCAAAAAAAAAACAACCCAAACCATCTCTATCTTCTCACCCATCATTGCCAGTAATAAAAACCTGAAGATCAAAGCGTGCCCTTGGTGACATCTCTACAACCACTCTATCTGCAAGTGATGAGCCCTTCATAGGGATCCCATCCTGGGGGCCTGAAGAAGGGCTGATCCTGGGTTGCTCTTCATGTCCTCTCTTATTTTAAGAGAAAAGAAATATAACAGGAAAAGAATCAGTGTACTGTATGTAATAATACTACATCAGTATTGCTGTTAAGATCTTGATTTTACCTTCAAGGATGACTCATGCACTTAAAAGCACCTGAAGGACAAGTGTCACGGTCTGATCATGCTCTTTCTCTCTGGCAAGAATGCTTTATGTGTGGAGAGTAGGAGAAATTAAGTCTGAAGTCTGATTTTTAAAGTTGTGGCTTTAAACCCAAGGATTTTCTTCTTGATCAGTCCGTGGTAAACTCTCAACTGCTTACATGTTTCAGCAAAGAAAGAGCACTATGAATAATGTAAAGGATCCTGTACAAAACCAAGTTTTCTTGTTGAAAATAAATGAAAAGCACACCTCACTGTATGAACCCATCTCAGCAGAAGGGCAAGAAGCCCTGCTCAGCGTATCTCTCCACTCTGACAGCATCCCCCAGCCCAGACCTGCACTGTGGGCTGACTTCCCATCCTTGTGTAGTGCCTGATGACTGGGCTGGCCCCAGCTTGCCCTGCTCCTTCCTTGGGGTGGCTGCGAGGCCCCAACAAACTGCCTGTACTCACTGACACTCATCCTGAATCCTATTTGGCCCTACTGCAGGTTTATTGCCCCCTCCCTTCTCAGCCCATCGCATCCAACTGGTGCAGCACAAGCTCAGAGCTGGCAGGTAGATGCTGATAGTGACTCTCCCTCAGGCTGCAGCCACTTCTCATATCATTTATCTAGCCCGAAGATGACATCTCCTTGCAGAAAACTGGCTATTGCTGACCCCAATTATATAGAGTGCTTAAGTGACTGACGAGCACTTGACACAGGACATGCTCAAATTTAAGCATTTATTGAAAGTGGTCCTAGGGGCAGGCAGGGCTGTGCTTGCAGTGCCTGGGGTTGAAGATCAGGCTCGTAGTGCCTTTGGCTCTGATATGCCTCAACAGCAAGTGTGTGTTTAGAGATCCCTACAGCACAGAGTAACTTCCTGCTGGCACCAAGGCTGCCCCCAGGCTTGTGTATAAATTAGACCTCATTGGGAGATAATGGACTGAGTCTGACACACCTTTTCCCTACAAATAAATGGGAGCCATATGGCCCCAGACTCTCATAGTGAGCCTTGATCTGAAGATGAATGGGTGTTAATATATATTCTCTAGAGTAATCAAAAATGCCATCATAAACATAGATTGACTCATTGAAGGTAGAATGTCTTACAAGGGGACATGCCTCCAGCACCAAAGTCAGGAAACAGCATAAAACACATTACCTTAAAGCTCTCAAGAAAGATCGAATTAAAATATGTGGGATGTTTGAATTAGAACGTTTTATGGTGTGGACAGGAATGGCTGAGGCAGCTCACTGAGCAGAGAGACTCTGGGAAATATTTGATGGACATTCTAGTTGCTGAGGTAGAGCTGAATTTGAGTGATATCTGAGGATTTCTCCAAGAAGCACCTGGAGATAAAGAAGCAAATGTTAAGGCCAAGGGGAGAGATTTCATGCTTGTCTTAGGGGAGCTGTATTTCATGGACTATAACAGCAATATAGACAAACATACTGTATTTCCTAAGGATGTTCATGTTATCCCAGCTGGGAAAGCTCTGCAAAAAAAGGAACATGATTGCTATTTCCTATCACTTCTGAAACAAAGAAATGACTCACAGAAGGAGAACTTTAGAGAGAGAGAAACCTTCAGAATCCAAGATGAAAAGCTGTGAGAGATCCCAACAGCACAGTCCGTTTAGGTGAATTAACTTAACCTCCTTGTTGTGTGCCTTTCTCTTGAAAAGAGTGCTTGTCTTCTGATCTGCTGGGGGCATCT